CGTGACTCACCAGCAAAAAAAAAAAAATATCAAAGAGACCTCCTGTTATAGATAGGCGGTCTCTTTGCTGCTACTGCTGCCTAATGCTGTTAGATTTTTTTAAATAACAAAGAGACCGGTTATTTAGATAACAGGTCTCTTTTCTGCTGATATTGTATATGAATATTTGTTGCGCTACTTTCTTTTTCATTAAAGAGACTTGTTATATTTAATTTTTTTTAAGTTATCTCACTATTTTAATAAAAGGTCTCTTAAATTATCTCACTATTTTATTTTTTTATTTTATTTTTTGTGTACTGCGTATAATTTGTTAATAATTCTTGTACAATAAAGTTAATTTAATGTAATAATTTTATAGTACTATTTATTTGTAACATATTATTTATTTGGAGTACGTACTCTCGACTTGTAAGATTGAATTTTTAAGTACTATTGTAGTATGGATTTTTATGTCCTATTTTTGGATTGAAATCATTTTGGTGAAATATATTTTTATATATACATATATATAATTTTTGGATTGAAACAAGTGATTAGTTGTTGATGGTGACTCACCAGTTCGAAAATCCTAGATCCGCCACTGACTTTAATGATGGAGAGATAGCGAGAAATAAACATAGAAAACAATATAATGAAAAAAGAAAAATAAAGTTAAGGATTCGTTAATAACTGTAACAAAATAAGTTAAAAATGAACATTTTTATTAAAAACGCACATATACACACTAATACAAAAACAAAACATGATGCAATATTTATTAAATTTTAAAAAATGGTACTCAGTGTTACAATATAAACAAAACGGAAAAGGCCAAGTAAATAGAGAGTAGAATGATAAAAACTTATTTGTTGTTTATGCTCCTATGTCCTTTAAAAATTGTCTCATTAGAATTTAATGTCTAGCCACAAAATTCTCAATAATCCATCATAAGAAATAATATAGGTATTTGAGGTTTTGTTAGATCTTTCCAATGTCTACTTTGACATTATAAAAAATATGAGTATTATTTTTATAGTTAGCTTATAGAATTAGGGATATTTATATTTTAACACGTGTCTTAAATAGTGTGAAAAGTCCGATGATGTAATTTTACAATAATGGGAAGGGATATATATATTCATATACCATGTAATAATATCCTCATTTTAATTTCTTTTTTAATAAGATGGAAAAATACATAAAAGTTAGGGATAGTCTTCTATCAAGATTGTAGTACTCCCTTTCATCTCTAATGTTCTTTTGGTTTTAAACTTTTGATGGAGGTGATTCTCTTACAAAAAAGTCAACGGTAAAAAATAGTGGGAGAATATAAAAAATAAAATTTACTATCCACGTAAGAATCTGTCTTGACAACAAGTTAGCCTTCAATTGCCCTAAAAATGCCACAAAGTTTGTTGCTCAATTGGTTCCCCAATGTATGGAGTATTTAGCATCAACATCCTCAAAATGAACTGAGTATTAGCTTTTATCTTATCCTCATATATGATATTGGGACTTGGGATAGATCAACTTACAATTGAAATGTAAAATTATACTTGTATATAATGAAATTCAACCTTAGTTGATGAATCTTGTTCATATTATTTGTTGTTTGTAACTCTTTATACAAACAAATAATGATAATAAATAAAAACAGATGTATAATAAAATAACTTTTTTTTTTAATTTGAAAATAGTCGCAAAAAGATAGTAATGTAGACGGAATATCAATGCAAGGGAAAAACGATATCGAGTAATGGCAAGTGGATTCCGAAAAAGGGCACGCAAGGAAAGAAATCTCGCTTCAACAGAGGAGATTGCCTTGGATGCCAACCCCTCCAAAAAATAAGGGCTTATTAGTCGTGCACACGAAAGTTGCAGAAGATGTTTTTGTGCCCAAACCAATACACTTATTATTCTTTTAGGTTTGGCTATGAAGTAAGGTTGATAAAGAACAAAACATGGTTTCACGTATCCAATTATGATTCTAACCAGGGCGGATTCAAGATTTTATGGATGTTGGGTTGCCGTCATCAATCGATCCAAAAAGTTGATTTTGTGAAGGAATATTTTGTGACGGAGGATGATTTTATGGAGGAGGATGAATTTTAGGACTAAAGAAACTTGTTATATCACATGTATTTTTCCTTTTCATTCTAAAAATTAAGTAAAAATATCAATAAGATTAATTGATATTAGTCGTATAATATAGGTTACTATTATGGACTACATAGCTAGGATTAAATAAATAAAAGCAGTGGCGGATAATACATAAATTGATATTAGTCGTATAATATAAATTAAATATAATATGTGTTATTATTAAGCTTATATCAATTAAAATGTCTCAAGCCATGAGGATTAAGAGTTGAGCCAATAAAAAAAATGAATACGGTTAAAGAGAGAACAGAAGTAAACACGCGAAAATATAAATCCAACATGAAGTTTTTTTCTAGCATGTTTTTTCTTCAACTAAATTATTGAGTTTGACATTTCACCCTTACTTTGATCTTATGATCTTATCCATTAGAAGAATTGTCCTACCAAAAACTTTAACTTGACTTTACTCTTATGCCCAATGTGTTTCCCAACTCTTTAATTTTGCCAAGTATGTTTCATGCAATTGTGATGGTTGAACAACATCATAGAGGCTAGAGCCTAGAGGTGGTGGTTATGATAGGAAGGTTGAGAATTTGGTGAGAGATTGCTGAGTCTTATTAATTTTAAAAGCAACAATTTCAAACCTTAAAACTTTTTTTTTTTTTTCTTGTTTAGAGTTGAGTAGCATTTTTATTAATATTCGTATGTTCCTAAAGTCTATAATTGATTGAGTGGATTAGTGGTTGAAACAATTCACGTGTAATCGTCTTTTATCCAAGGATTAGTCACTTAACTATTCATTAACCTTTCTATACATTTAGAAAGATCAACTATCGCTATGAAGACTTCTAAGACCATCTCCAATGGTTCAATTATAAGGACTTGCTTGCAATTTAAATAAAGTTTTTAGCTACATACTTACCATTGGAGAACAAAAAATTTGAGCAACATGTAAGTAATTGTAGCCCAAACAAGCTACATGCTTGATTGAAAAAGAAACAAATAAACTTCACTCATATTGTAACATTTGTATATTTATTTTTAATTTTTTTATAATTTTATTATTTGCAAAATACAATATGTTGTGGTTTATCATTGGAACAATTTGTTGCTTAAATGTGCTGTAGCTTAGAAATTGATGTGAAAAAGCAAGCTACAGAGCATTGTAGCTTGCCATTGGGGATGCTCTAAGAAAAACAAACTTATCAGACCACATTCTTTTGAATAAACTAAACTAAACTAAACTGAACTGAACTAAATGAAAATAATAGTATAGAACTAAGTTGAAAAAAGCATAACTGAACAAAATAAGTCCAAAAGAACGCGGTGTACGTGTAATAAGATGTGATAACAAGATGTCGGAGGAGTAGATGATGATGATATATTGAAATTAGTAAACCAAAACAAGAGAAGCATATTAACTGTCTAGGACCCGAAGGATGGCCCAAATGGGACCCAAGTAGTAATGGGTTATTACTCAATATTGTCCAAATATGTCCAAAGGCTTACCAAAGTGGTACATGTGGGTAGGTTGTTACTTGTTGGTGCATTGGTTTTTCTCTAATTAATTTTTCATTTGTATACATTCAATGAAAATGAATCAAACAACAAATTTATGCATTTTAGCCGACAATTTTTTAATATACCTAATGCCACTTCTTAATCAGTAGGCTCCACAAATATCAATAGCCTTGAAAATTTTATCAACAACAGGATCTAACTCTAAATCTTTTTATTTATTTTTCTTAAGAAAAACAAAAATGTTTTCTCTTTCTAAAATTTGATTGTACACTCTGTAATGTGTGGCTTTTAGTGTTAGTTTCAAGTGTTTTAAGGGCAGACACATTTATGGGAAAAAAAAAAAATCTAATTGATTTTTCAGATATTGCAAGATAATAGGTTAATATGGCCACACTAAATTGGATTTTGTCAATAGTGGCAACTGATTGCTAGAATTATGTGCAATGGTGAGTTAATGCTAGATAAGACAAGGTAATGCTCCAATTATGTATCAATTGTTTCATAATTCTTTCTACTACCTCCGGTAATTATTATGTGCAACAAAGGAATATTTTATATCTCAAAAATAATATTCATTTCTTGCACATAATAATTAACGGAGGCAGTATATCATTGTTACTATGCTTTTGAGATTAAATTTTGATTATGTAAATTTCTAAATAAATTGATAAGATAATATCAATGTTGTTAAAATAAAGAATGAGAAAATCGACAGTAATCATGACTTTCGGTAGAATAGTAGAGGTGGCAAATTAGTAGTTGGTTTGGATCAATTTGATTGAAGCCATTAAGGTTGGTCAAAGGTTTATTGTTAATTGATTTATCATTATATAGTTATCAATATTAGTCATGTTAGTTTATAGGGGTTTGGTGAAGTACACTTTAAGTTTAAATTGGATCATGTTACAAGTGCATTTTAAATAAAGAGCTATCCTATTGGGCCAAACTCCGCCAAACTCCACTCAGGTCAAACTGGCTCGAGTTAGCTGATTAAACATTTTGAGAAATGAGTCAAATGAGAGAATGATGAAGGATCCCACCCTAGTAGGATGAGCCCCCGCCTTAAAATTGATGTATACAATCCTTACCACTAAGTCAAGTTTAGCTAGGAATACTCAATCCTAATTATTAAGTTCTAATTATTCATTCTATGGAGTACACAAATTGAATCCACCTTCTATGAGATGGGAAAATTATATGTTACACGTGAGTAACTGATGCTCATGTCAGCTCCACTCTCTCTAGAATCTGAAGATCTGAACAACAAACATATTATAGCATGAAAACAGAGATATGCTTTTAGATAACTGAACTATCATATGGTACATTATCTGCATTTAAACCGTACAAGTTTCAATAATGCATAGACAGCAGATTTGCAGAATTATGGAGAAAGGAAGTGCAGAAGACAACAGTTGCAGTAACATTAAAATTATGCAAATGTATAAAACAACCTAGACATGTATGCAATCTTCTGTTTCTTTTCTGACAGTGAATGTTCTGAATTATAGTGCTGAATTCACTACAGTGTAACCTGTACATAATTGCTAACTGTATATGAAAAAATCCATAACAAATATCCAATAAGAAAAAAAAATCTGACAGCAACCACTTTAAGTCTGGACCAGATAACAGTTAAAAGATTTACAAACTTTACAGATAAAGTCAACTTGTTGTATATAGTATATATACAGTCCTCACTCCTCTTTAGGGATCCACCTGCTCCACCACATGCTCTTCCTTGTCTGGTTGAGTTCGTCGATGCTCTCATTAAGTGTTTTAATGATCTTTCTCTGTATCCGGAGAACCGATGCTAGAGCGTTTCTTTGTGCACCTCCCTTCTTTTGTGGCTTTATCTCCTTCATGACATGAACCAGATTACATTACAATCGTTGAAAGAAAACTTGTAAAACTTTTATTTCGGTAGTGGAAATATAGATACACCCTCCATCATAAACACTACTTTCTTAATTTCCATTTAGAGATAACAAAAAAACTATCATCCACCTCTACATGATTTCGAGGCCTTTCTCCAATATTAATGTTATAAAGAGTAGAGACAGTTTTCTAGGTAAAAGAGCACTCTTTGCTCTCTATCACTTGGAATTAAAATTTACTTTTTTTTACTACTAATTAAGATTGTAGACCCACTTCTAGGAAAATCCAACTAAAAATAAAATGGTAAGCCTGTCAGCTTTTGCTCACTGCAACAGCATAACATGCCTTTGGCCAATTCCAGAAAATATGACCAACAAAAATAGTTGGTTGTGCTGTGGGCTGTTGGGCAAGTAATTCAATGGGTTTTATGCCCATGAATCCGTCTAATATTCAGGCCTACTCTGCATACAAATACATCTCTTAAAATGAGTACAGGTCCTAAACTGCACACAAATGAACCTCAAATACTTAAGGATGAAAACCTACAATTTTTAGAGTCAAACTATAAAATTGGAAAAGATCAACTGGAAATAACCTTTTGAACTTAAAAAAACTTCTCTGAAAAATACAATAAATTTTTATCTTAAAAAAAACCTGCAGTTCAAAAAAAAGTAACTCTGTTTTGTATCAGAAATATATGAACTTGGCTACATACATGTATGCATTTTAAGATGTGCTGATCTAATTCAAAAGTCAAAACATATACATATAAAGTGTAAGTGTGTGTGAGTTTGTGTATGTGTGCATGCACATGCATGTTTATATATCCACCAATGGCAATATGTGCCTCATTTTTTTAAAAAATGAAAATGAAAAAATAAAGGAAAATCATTCCACCATATGCATACCCTGAGTTCCTGCAGCTGAGCTTCTGTAAATCCACCATCCTTTGTTGTTCCTGATCTGGCCATCAACTGAGTGATCCATTTTGCAGCCTCACCATAATCCTTTTGGGTGGCCCGGAATAACTGCAACCTAAGATTTTGCATGAAGGACAAAGCCAAGAGGCCTTCCCTATCGAAATATGGGTAGGCTAGGGCAGCTTTTGCACTCAGCCGTTGTCGTGCTTTGTATCGAACCATAGAAGTCAGCAACTCCCATCCAATCCCTCCATCTAAATCTAACAGCTCAAAGCCTCTTTTGAGATCAGGTGCCGCTCGTGGCTCAACTGAAGCTCTCCATGCATTTAAATCATATCCACACCTCTTCAACTGACGGTTGAACTGGATAAGGTTACTGTCAGAACGCAATGAAGGGAAGGCCTGCCCATGGAAAATATCAGATGAAATTCATACATCAACCAGAAAAAATAATGCAGATAGAGGAAAGAACTGAAACTATTGTTACAAATAACATATTCATCTTGGTAGCAGGTACATGTGTATTAACTAGCCACATAAATCCTGCTTATGGAGTTCCAATCAGATAATGAATCTCAAAGGCGATATACATCCTTTGATCACGCAATTTCCATCAGTTTTAGGATGGATTGTATGAATGTAAGGTATCAAGAAGCTAAATACACTGTCTGAAACTTTGCAAATTTCTGCCATTATCTTGAGTATCTTTTCTCTTTCCAGGGGAGGGATCACAAAGAACAATACAAAATCAGAGTAATCGGCAGGGAAAAAGACCATGTACACTGAAGTCTATTTTTCCTTCATCATCCAGTAAAACCACTAGAAAATCGCATAGCAAGACAACTATAAGTTTGTGACTTTCATAACAGAAATATTAGGATTTTCAAGCCATTTGCAAATGAATAAGATGATATTATTTTGAATCGTGTAACTACAACGTATTTCAAGTACCTTTGCTCAAGCTGTCCAGCATGTGTCAAATTAAAACATCTGACCAGACAAATTTAGCTTAGAAAGTAAAGTGGGTACAGGCCATACAGCAAAAGAAAAAGCACTTTTAAAGAGAACATCAAGATGCTCTAGAGGCTTCACAAAATAAACCGGAGTTGTTGCTTACCATTTGAAGGAATATGAGACCAGCACTGTATATGTCAAATCTATCCGGCAAATTTAACTGTCAAGCACAAAATCCTCAGTAGTTTAAGAAGACGAATCATAGCATGATATTTACTATAAAGCATACTTATAAGTCAAATAGATTCTAAACAGTGCAGGACCTGCCATAGGACTGGGGAAAGTGCAGCAGCCACAGGAGGTGATGGTGCTGAAGGAGTTTGAGTGCTCATGATATATTGCTCTGGTGCAGCATATCTAACCAGAAAAGACATGATCATTAATCTCATAAGACGAAGACCGATAAGGAATATGGATGTGATAAGTACAAAATTCAATTAACAAAACCATGGACAAGAGCCCACTAATGTTGTGTTCATTCGCAAAATGGAATGACCTGTCAAAGTTTTTAATATTGACTGGAATCATATAAAACGCCTTTTTAAAGATGCTACATGCGAGACCTTCTAAATCATTATGAAGAAATTGGCAAATAAACTATAAGCCAGTTCCTAGAGGCTAGACAGATAAAGAAACAAAATATACAGGAAATTAATTCACCTTGGATCCAAAAGGAACTCTTTGGGAACATAGTTAATGCCTACTCGTAGATCTGCTGCAGCCCCAAGATCAATAATCTTGAATGTACGGGTACCTGGAAAATGTCAATAGCAGCAGGGAGAAAATCAGAGAAGAATGAAACCAGAATAAAAAGGACAGCATAGTCATAACCGTTACCTTCAGAGAAAATAATGTTCTGAGGCTTTATGTCTCTGTGAACAATTCCAGTTGAGTGAAGACCGTCCAACGCAAATAGAAGTTGCTTCATTATTGTTTGTATGATTCTATTCTCCCGCTCTAATCCCTTTGGCAAGTTTTGTACTTTTCCAAGAATCATTGTTTCAGCCTATAATACCATGGAAAACAAGCAACCGCATAAATTCTTGTCAATCTTTCCATTGCAATTTCAAGGAATCATGTGTAAATGAGACCCATCCAAAATAAGTCCATAAACTGGAGGAAAGTAACACTTAATCAGAGAGCATACTGTCAGAGTTCATGATAATTGTGCTATGAGCCTCTGACCTATGAGAAACATAAAACGCAATAGTGCTAGCCAAATATCATATCTGCTAATCAGTGCACTATAAGAAACTTCTATGATCCTCCAAATCACAATCAATTTCAGCATTTTCTTTCACTGTCAATGTTTAAATCACCAAATAACTGAGAAGTAATAACCATGCACAGCAAAGATAAGCACAAAAAGACACTAGTTGTAGCACCATTCAACCCCTGAAACTTACGATGACAGTGTATAAGAAAACGTAGCATTAGAGACTCCTCTTTCTAGAATTTTTTTTTGAAATTATTACATCTACCAATACCTCTACTAGGTGCTCCAAATGACCAGAACTACAAATAAATACAGCCAATAAGCCATAATGGACATAATAGTCAAAGATTATACGAGCATAAACAGTACCCAATAGGATATATTACAGCCAAAAAAACAGCATTATTTCAAGAAAGGGCCTTCTCCCAAAAGCCCAATGTAATATATGACATTAATAATAATAGTGTTGTACTTTTTTAGTTCTTCACTCGTAGCATACAGGGCTTCACTAGGCTAATATATATAACACAAAAGCTGACCCAAAGAAGCCACAATGACCCACATAGTAGACTTTTGAACTTTCCAGCAAGTGTTTTATACAAGTGGTATATATAGTACAAAGTATATATAACAAATATCAAAAATAGCATCATAATTATAAGATTTATAACACTCGATTAATGGTTCACCACCCCTACGCTTATTGTAAATTTCTAAAATTCCCATCATTACTTGGTCGGCGATTTCTCAATCCCTCTTTTATCTTCCGAAATCAAAAACAGCCTTCTCTAGATCAACAACAGATGCAGCTATGCATATTGCTTTTGTATTGTCATTATTTATAGATGGTAACCACAGCCAAAGCTAATGCAAAGCTTCTTGAAAAGCCTGATAAATGCTAGCCAACTATTCCCACACCCATAGCCTCAACCCTCAAGCCATAAAGCATTTTGCTAATTGCCATCATTAAATGTCAAAAGTTAAAAACTAACCCTCAACTTTTCTTACTGGTGCATCTTCTGATCTCCGCCTATCCTCAATGTCCGCTACTCTAACTTCCCTCTTAATATTTTCGTTTCTATTACACATCCATCTCAATATACATTATCTTCCTAATATGATCCTTCCCGAACATTTTGATCCATATAACAACGTTGGTGTGATAGCCGTCTGATAGATTTTCCCCTTCAACTTCAAAGGTAAGCCATGGTCACACAAAACCTCTCCATTTGAACCAACCAGAATTAATCATGTGGGATCTTGGTCAATTGCTCCACTCTTTTGCAAAACAAACCTAAGGTAAAAAGCACTAGCTTATGGGCACTTCCTTACCATCCAATGTTACTATATACCCACCCAACTTCCTTGTAGTGCTAAATCTACATTCCATGTACTTAGCCTTCCTGAGTTCTAGATTTTACCTTTACTGCTCTAATTTGGTATCAACCCAACTCTAGTCTCATCAATCAATACAATATCGTCTTGTAAACAGCATACACTAAGGTGTCGTCTCACCTTGGATAGATTTTGTTAATTCATCAAATATTGTTGCTAAAAGGAAAGGACTTAATGTCAGACCTTGGTATAGTCCAATCATAAATTCATAATAGTGAAATCCTCACTCCCCCGCAAATCTATACATTTGTTTTGACATCTCGATACATATAAACAAAGTTGATATACTTACGAGGAACAACCTTCTTAAACATTGTCAACCAAAGCACATCTCCTCATTTTATTACAGTATTTACCTTAAGGAAGGTTTCCAAAGCAAAATAAAGTGAAGGGTTGATAACAACTAAAGGTAAACCTTCCCAGGCGGCAGGCGCTGCAACCCTTCACTTCATTTTAACATTTTATTACAGTATTTACCTTTAGGAAGTTTTCCTACAATGTCAAACTGGAGCAATGAAAAAAATAACACCAGAGTCTCATTGATGAATTGTATGGAGCTAAATTTGACTAAAACCTTTTACCTTTAACACATATAGCAGGTATCTGTTTGTAAACAAGATCAGCAACCCGATTTTCTAACTAGTAAATAATTGACATTCACATTGTGAATGTATGCTAATGACCTTAAGGTAATCTAATGCAGTTCTTCATAGCCAAAAGAAGCTACAACCAATTATGATAACCAGAATCTTTGTATCCTTACATGGTATCAAACAGCATAAGGCCACCATGTTCACGACCCTATAGCTCTAATAAAACCTTAATCCTCAGACATCTTATAACAGAAGACAAGTTTCAAACCAGCACAATTATTTATTTGGTAGGTATTTACACATGTGAAACTAGTCTGAACTCTGAAGAAAAGTTGTTCAGACCAACAACTCCTTTGTGTATGATTTGTTCAGGTGATTCATTACAGCATTGAGTAATATCCACTTACCCTAGAACTATGAATAGATAGATGCTTATGCAAGATGGCATACTTTAAATACAAACAAGGTTCACAGTAATTCGAGTCAGATTGCAACATCAAGCCTTCCATCGTTTATCTCTTCAAGGCATAGTGGCATACCTATTGCAACTATCTGAAGCGGTAAGATTAATAAAACAAACACAGAATCATCACCAATGCAGCTTTCTTACATTTGAATCACTTTAGTTGCGCACTATGCACTTCCCCTGAATCCCCTCACAAACAGAGTACAAATAAGCGCACCTTAGCCACTGGGGAGCTAAGTGATTTGGGTCAAGTGCTTTTTATATATCTAAGGCAAAGCACACAACTTTCTCTTTTATACCAATTTTTTTAAAAAAATATTTAATTAAGTACACCTCACTTCAACAAGGCGTACACCTATTGCCTAGGTATGCCTTGAGCATTTTTATACATTGCTCTCAATTATATATGAGAACTTGTCTCTAGCTTTGTTTGTCCATCACTTTGATTAATTCATTACTTAGTAAAGATTCACTTCAATGATTACTATTACTTTGTTAGCTCAATTATACAATTACATGCAACCAAGAAGGTACTATTATCTTTAACTAATAACTAGTGCAATATTAGTCTAATACTGTACTAATTTTTTACACTGCATACAGCAACACCTTCCAAAACCTGCCAACAGCAGACTCCATATTGGATGATCTTAATTTTTTTTGCAATTCAGAATGTGCAGCCAATAAAGATCTCTACTGAAGTAATCATAAACAACCCCTACTGCAAAACAAGGTTTTTAACCTAACATGGTCATTGTTAATTCTGTCCCAATACCGATAGATGACCTTAATCAACAAATATTTTTTGAAAAAAAATGACAAAGAAGTTCAATAATGATTGAAGACCTTTCCTCAAAAAAAAATAAAAAAAATAAAAAAAATAAAATGACTGAAGACCTAAACAATGACCAAATGGATCAGGTGGAAGTCTTTAGTAGGAAGCTTCAAAAAAATCAATACTTCGTACTACATTTCTAAAGCATAGCAAGGCATCACTATCAGATTTCCGCTCACTCTAACACTAGATAGAGCATTCCATACCTAATCTCAAGGTTATGTCTCTAAAAGCTAATAAGAATATCTGGATTATTAGTATCAAAGATTAAATTCAGGAATTCATAAATAATCGGTGTCAATATACCAAGCATTGTGAAGTCAAATTCCTCTCAATACTCAGTACCTAAGCATGGGATTAAGGCTTTGATTGATTGACTCGGTACCTATGCCTTAGAGCATAATTTGGCAACTGCAATAGCTTAAATTGATCATAAACCCAATGTTTCAAAAGATAGTAACACAGGTATTAACAAGGTGCAGCTACTGCCTAAAAGACTCTAGGCTAGGGATCCCTCCTTTGAAATGAGAAGATATTATTACTGTAAGCAAAAAAAAGAGTCTAAAAACTCGACTTGATCCTCCTATAAATGTAAGACTGAGAAACATGGACAAAATAATAGACAAGGAGAATAAATAACAAGTTTTTGACAGTGTCATAAAGCGCAATTTTTGTAATACAATATTCATGTTCAACTGGGTCAATGAGAGAGAATACCAACATTGTAAGGGAATTCCCTGCTCGTCAGTAAATCAGATAGTGTTGATTCTCCCTCAAAACGCCATATAAGCCAATATTCACCTTCCTTCTTAGAAGATTTCTGGGACATGTCCAAAGAAACTACATTCAGCACATTACCTAAAAAGATGGAAGACAAATATGAAAGAAGATATAGTTGCAAATAATTGGTACCAGCCCAAATTTTCAAAAGGTACAAGACTGAACCACAGTACCTCCATGAAACCATACAAAAAATCAGCACAACTACTAGCACAAGCCCTTCGCACACGCTCATTCATCCAGATTTCTACAGCACCATACTCAGTAGCCTTTTTCACGACCAAATCACCTTCCTGTAAGGCAAATTATAAGCACCACACTACCACAGTATCATTTCCAAACCAAAGACCACCAGTGCAATATGAAAATCTATAAAATAAAAAATAAAAATAAAAAAAGCTAGAAGCACTGCACATAAGAACAAATTGATAAGATCCATGCAATTGAACAAGATCATTACATGAGTATGTCAATCAATCACTGGTAAAATACAGTAGAACTACCAATTATACAATTAACTGATGAACTCAGAAAACTTATTCTAAACAACAAACACTCGCAGTTGCATACATCAAACACCATCAATCAATCAGTAAACTACCTTTAGGCCAAATAAAAACCAGAATAGATAAAATTATACACTCATCATAGACAATCAATCAAAAAAGATACCTTCACAGACGGCTTCTTGTTATTGGCTAAAGAAACCTTATAAACAACTCCAAAAGCCCCTTCTCCCAATTTCTTTCCCAACACAAAATCATCCTGTAACAAAATGAACAAATATCAGTAAAATTAACCACCATACATATCCAAATTAAGCAATCACAAATCCTAAAACTACAAAATCACAAAACCCCTATAAATTTAACAACCTTTTTGAAAGTGGGTCTGAAAATTCTTTCAACAAAAGCAAGCACAAACATATCCCAAAACCCAGGAGCCACACCAGGGGTAGCCCAAAGGTAAGAAACTGTCCCAAGAGCCAAAATCACCCCAGGAACAGTGAGTGTTAACCCATTAGACCTTGGTAAAGTGCTCCTATAAATAATGTCTCCACACTCCATAACTGTACAAGGTAACCCAACTCCCACACCCACAAAAAGGTCTCGAACTGGGTCAAACAACTCAAACCCGGCACCGAAAACCATACATCTTTTCCTTGATTTCAAGGTGGATAATGAACTCAATTGGGGTTTAAACAAAAGGGGTTTCCCCAGAAATTGAGTGTGAGATTTTTTAGGATTAAGGGTATTGAAAGTGGGACAAATTTGTCCTATTCCTACTCTATTTGCTGCAATTGCTGCCATTTTTAAAGAAGAATTTTGCAAAGGGGTGATTATAACTTAGCACTAGGAATAGGAAACATCTGAGTAACAAAATGTTCCAAAGTTTTTAACTTTGCAACAAAATATAAAATATCTGGATTAGAATGAAGAAGAAAAGCGACAGTTTTTTCTGTTATGGCAACCAATTGTAGCCATATTTTCTCATTTTGAAATTAATAAAATGTTGGGTTTTGTTTTTGTGGAGCTCAAGCATTCTTCACTTCTTTCTGATAGTGACAGTGACAGTGACAGTAAAGATGACAAAATTCAGAAGAGGATTAGCAGAAAACATACACCACCAGTTACACATAGATAGTTATGGGTCAGTCACTCAGTCCAATATTTGGAATGCAGAAAAACCCATATACGAAGTGATCATTGGGCTGGTTTATGGCCTACTATTATTTACCATCCAAAAATGTAATCCTTTCTTTTATATACTCCCTCCGTTTGGGATGTCAGTGGGGCGGGTCAAGTTGGAGACCCGCCCCATCGCCGCCTAAATAGGGCGGGATGGGGCTTGGTTTGGCGGGTGGTAGGGTGAGGATGGGAATAAAAATCATACCCGCCATGGGTGATGGGGTGGGGGTGGATTTTAAGTTGTACCCGCCCCATCCCCCCGCCCTGCCCCTGTAGACACCCATTTGTGTCTCCCCAAAACCAAACCCAGTGATGAGTGTCTTTCACGCCGAATCATAATCAAATGAAACGAAAGTGTGGAAAGGTCTAGTGTTGCGGAAAGTTTTATTTCTTTTCTTTTCTCTTCTCTCTGTTTTGAAAACTTTATTTTAAGAAAACAGCCAATCCAGTTTGGTTGGTCCATGATATGGGTCCAATAGTAGTATAGTTAGATGGGGCTTGCAAAGACCTTTCCAACGATATATTATAAGCCCAATTCCGATGAATATTGAGGAATTTATGGCCAATTTACTAAACTGGGCCCGGTTTGAGTTTTAAGTACGGCCCAATGACCTAGGGGAGGGCCTAATATGATTTATCATTCCTAATGTAATTAGGAATGGTTTTGGTCTTCTAGAACATTCTAGAAGGTTCTTATCATTCTTAATTCAATTAGGATTCTTTAGAGTTTTAATTAGATCAAATAGCATTTTCGACTGAAATTATATTATTTTATCTTCCAATACGGTAAAATTATAAGATTTTCGAAAACGTGTTAAAAGCCGGTTTGGCGTCCAACCCCAGGCCTTGGCGCCTGGAACCAGGACTGGTGCCAGACGCCAGCCACTGGCGCCTGGCGCTAGCCACTGGTCCTGGCGCCAAGTTGTTTTTGCGATCTTCAGACTCTGTTTTGATAAATTATCTTTTTTGGCTGATTTTCTCTATAAATATCGTATCAAAAACTCCGTTTTGATTGACGGATTATCATCTATCATCCACCACTTCTTTTATTTTTAAGTTTTAATAAATTCCGTTTTCATTCATCATCTACAATCTTCAATCGTAAACAAATTAGTTTATGAATCATTAATCTTTCATTCATTCTTTCTAAACTTTATTCTTTAACACAAAATTCCGCATTCACAAGATCTTGATACACCTAGCCATATTCGAAGTTGCCTTCACCCTAGACGTGAAAGGTTTTAATTTCTGAGGGTTTGGTCCCAAATCTCTATTTCAATTATTTAATTTAATTGCTTTGTTTATTATTTTCCTTGAATTTACTAACGTGTGTATTTTGTAATTAGAAAGAGGTACGAGACATCCAAGTAAGTACTTTATTGATTAATTGATTTTATGATGTAGACATCATGTTTATATTATTATGATTCTTAGTATCATGTCTAGGGTGTTTTTAATATTAAGCGTGATTAAAAATATGATGCTTCCTATGTTCTTTCTAACATTTATGATTATGATTGATGATGATTATTTATTATGTTGCTTGATATATATTATATATTGTTATTGCTTGATCACCTTTTATTGCATGTTTAAAGGGAATTGGTATTTGCAATCACGCTTGATAAGATAATTAATAATCTTGTTAGGTTAATTGTGATTATAATTCAAGTGATCGCCAATAATAGTTTATTTGTGCATTAATATTCAACCAACATAGATTAAACAGGTTTAGGGTTAATCCTATTGATTGCATGTTAGTCAGAAAGCGTACATGAATACGATCAGAATAAAGTAGAGGCCTATTATTAGGGCAGGTTCAATCTCTTTTAGGTTGGATTTGTACCTTCATCCCCGAACCCTATTTTGGTTCATGACCTTATGGAGTTGACGATCTCTTGGATCGTTAAGGGGTGTAACCTTCACCTCGTGAACGATTTACATGTTCCTTAAAAACTTGTTGGCGACTCTTTTGCTCTATCTTCTTCCCTTTTGGACGCCACCGTACTTTAGTGTAAGATCACAGTGGGGTTCAAGCTAGTGGGATTTTAAAGGCTTGAAACTATTCCCTACAGTTTTTGGCGACTACACTGGGGAGGATTTCTATTTTAATTCCTGAATTTGTTTCGGCAATGATTTAGAATGAGTGGATGAGACTCGAAAAGTTCTAAGTATTTCATGTGCGTAATTTTGATTAACATTATTGTCATATGCATAAAAAGGTTCTCATTGGAAAGACCATCCGTAATGAGTCAAAAACATAGGATTTTACACGTAGGAAATTTGAGAAATGTCTTTCACAACTAGGACTGAAATAACACCGCGCGAAACTGGATGACTTTATCGAGCACAGAAAGCTGCTGAGGCATGTGGGAAGTAGCGTCAGGGGCCAGAGCTTGGTGCCAAGTTTTTAGCCGTAGCGCCAGACGCCAGTATTGGCGCCAGGCGCTACAGTTAAAAGTTGGCGCCAGTCTCTGTTTGCTGGCGACAATTTCCCCCAATACCGAGCCAGAAATATGCGTTCTAATTTCGACCGATTTTTCGTATTGTTTGCTCGATCCTACTTCCTGATTGAATTTTTTCTCATTTTTCTGAAACCCATATGTGTTCTACATATGGACATAACCCTCTGGGAATTCATGCTCTATCTACCCGATTGAATGCTCCTGGCAACAAAGGGTACATCTGAGATGTTGAATTCACCAAACCATGGAAGTGAGTTTTTTCTAAATAACTCGCGGTGTTCTATCCACACGCGTTAACCCTTCACGGTTAGGCTTCTACGCGGTGCATCTGAACAATTAACCATGGACCCTATTTGACTAAACCATATCCCGAACTTTAGAGAACTAGCGCCATGGTTAGGTTGTGAACTCATTGCATCATATTGTGCCTACTTGACTAATTGTGCATTATTTGTTGCGCATATATATTCTATGCTCCTCCTAACCGTTTGTTGATTTGTGTTGAGATTATAATTAATGACTTAAAGAACTTTGCCTAATTAATTAATTAATTCGAGTCAATTAAATTTTTCTTCTTTTAATTGGAATTGACCTAGTACGACTTTAGGCATGCCCAAGTTGACTAATAATATCAAAAACAGTCCCAGACCGAGGCTCCAATGTTGGTGCCAAAATCTGGGTTGTAGCGCCATTGTATGGTGTGTAGCGCCAGACATTTACTAAAAAGTCTGGCGCCAACCACCATATTGTGACGCCAGTCCTGTCGCTTGGCCGACAGTTCGGATTATTTGTCGAGTCATCACCTAATGTCTAATTATTCAGTTTTCTGTTTAATTCGGTTAATTGTGCTTAATTGAATCAATATTCGAGTTTAGGCACTAAGTCCCATGGTCTTACACAAGAGTCCAATCATGTCACTTACACTCAATACACACTATTACACATGTCTTGACTATGATTAAGGGAGTTTTGTGTGCGCGCGTTTTTTTTTTCGTCATTTTTTTAGGGGGGTAAGTCGGATATTAATCCTCCAATAAATAATAGTACTTAAGTTCCCTAAACACATGTACATTATTGCTCCCTAAAAATATGCATACTTTTTTTTTTTTTTAAAAAACAAAAGCCATAAAGTCAAACTGATTCGAGTTAAGTAATTAAAATGCAAACTGGCTTAATTTACAGCGCGTGGTCAAGAAAGGAAGGACGATTAATCAAAGATAACCTCTTCGTACAAGTCCAACTTTTCGACAAACCTATAGCTCGCAAGAGGAAAGCAAGAGTTATAATGGCAACTCAGGAAGAAGTTAACGATCTCAAAAACCAATTGGCTACTGTAACTGAGACACTAAAGCTTCTCGCACTTAAGATCGAGGATCCCGCGAAGCAACAACAAATGGACCTCATGCAAGAAAGCCTAAGCAAGTTGTCCAGCGACTACAAGTTTCAAGAACTCACATCCCAAGGGGTCTCGGTGGATAAGGATCTTCTTCCGCAGAAGTTCAGTGCCAACGACATCCCAAAGTTTAGGGCAATCGACAACCCCTACTTCCATCTAAGGGCATTTGAAACAATAATGAGTATCAAAGGTATCGATAAGAAAATTTTCCCTTCTCTCTTCTCGCTATCTCTCGAGACCGTTTGCCAACAATGGTTCTTTTCTCTTGAAAAAGAAAAGACCTGTACTTGGGAATCCATAGCAAACGCTTTCGTTGATAGGTACAAGTGCAACGTTCAAGTCGAAACTGACCATAGGGAACTTGAAATTCTCAAGTAGAAGGAGAATGAAGGCTTCACATCTTTCTTTAACAAGTGGAGAGAAACCTCAGCTAAAATGATTGAGGTACCAAGTGAAAAAGAGTCTGTGAGATTGTTCATTAAAAATCTCCAAGAAAAATATTCAAAACATCTTAAATATCAAAATAACCTTCATACCTTTAAGGCTGTTTATGATATTGGGATTAATATTGAAGATGACTTAGCTAAATCTAAAGCTGCCAACAATAACTCCAACAGTGGCTGGAAAGGAAAGAAGAACGACAATCCTTCTTCTTCCAAAACCGCCCACTCAAATAATGTTAACGCCTTTAATCTAGGAGAAGTCCTTGCCATGAACAACCAAGGACAAAAGAAACTGTTTAGGAGAAACTTCACTCCTATTGGCATGAGTTATGACACCGCGTTTAATCGGCTAAATGCAAAAGGTCTTATAACTCCCATTGGACCATTCGGAGGTCCACCAGTCGAGAAAAGGTCGCCTAATTGGAACCCCAATGCACATTGCAAGTATCATCAAGGTAGGGGCCATTATACTGAAAGCTGTTGGAAACTTAAGGAAG